CCCCCCCCCCCCCCCCCGGGCTAGTACGGGGCATTTGCCCGCCCTGTCAGACCCGGAGGTGGGGCATTTGCAAAATTTGCGCTGCCCGGGGGCCGGGCAGCGCAAATTTGACTACACAGAGGATTTTACTTGAAAAGCAAGCAGATTGGGCTCATTTGTAGCTACAGTCGACTCTCTCTTAACGGACACCTCTGTAAAACGGACACTTAGAGTTGGTCCCTGCCTTTCTTTACTCCTTTCATTTGACTCTCTATAAGACGGACACTTAGTGCCGGTCCAAAGGTGTCCGTCTTAGAGAGAGTTGACTGTATTTGTCAAGGATGCGAAAAAAATGAAAAGGTTTGTAAAGGCATTTTCTCGATTTTATGCATGCATTTCTTCATTGCTTATCAAGCCAGAATCACACAGCGAAACTCGGGAGCTATCGACGTGAATCAACGTTCTTTCGGTCATTAAATCAAGTTTCTCTTGATATTATTTGAAGAACATCCTTTCATATGTGTAAAACTATTCATAGCAGTTAACTTCACAGCGCACTATTAATTTTTAAAATTTCACTAATTTTATAACAATACTAAAACCATAAACTGGTGTCGTCACGGGGTGAAGTCTCAATTAGAATAGCACTATTACAAAGGAAGATGTTAATTGAAACAAAAAATCGCACATTAAAAAGCTTTAAAGGGCACTTCTCGACTGTGCGATCAATGAAAAATGTTGTAGTGTTGTCGAAGGACGGGACATTTGCCCTCCTTTTTCCGTCCCCACCCCGGGGGATTTGACCGCTCAAGAGTCCCTACCCCAGGGAAAATGCTAATGCCCGGGGGTCAGCCCGGGGGGGTGCTGGGCGCAGCTGGAATTGACTGATGCATAAACGGTAAACAAACCCGCATCTTCGCACACAAGAGGTCTAGTTAGGCGGTATCCTTCCCTCCCCTCCCTTGTACAAACGTTTGCCTTATTAAAGATCTTCAGGTCAAAGCACATGTTTCGCAAGTATCAGAAAGTTTTATGAAGATTTTTTTATTTAATAACCAGCTTACAATTCGCTATATCAGTTTTAAAGTGTCCCTGTTATGTTGAACACAAGTGCCTTGTCATGCTTCCCTAACTAACAAACAAAGAAACTATTACGTCAGAGCAGATATAGATTAATAACTCATTAGTACTATTTGTTCAAAATTCCTCATACGAAACGGGTTACTTCGAGACAAAATAAAGATTAAAGGTTTGGAATTCAATAAATGGATCTTTCAAGAGTTGGAAAAGTTAATCCAACTTAAGATGTGAAAGAAGAAGCATTTTAGTCGTGCAAAAAGATCTCCTCTTGAAGAATCTTGTGGCAAGTACCTAGGTTAACCAAGCTAGTAAAACAAGCATGACAAGGCGTCTCGAGTGCGTCACTAACAATTGTAGAACAATATAAGAAGATGACATTTCTTAAACGAAAAAGTTTAGGCAGAGACTTCTCACATCAGCAATTAACGTTCACTGTAAAGGTCTGGCGAAGTAGGCCTTGATCTTCAACATGGTAGGGACAGTTTGGTTGGTCGCTCTTTTCGGCATATTTTCAGCGGCTTACTCTGCAAATTACAAATGCCAAGGTGTTGCTCGATACGGGCTAACGTTTTATGGCATGTGGAGCAACATGACGCATCCAAATGCTTTTCCTTTTCCTTCGGGCCATTTTTCGCCTCTGGTCGGCGCCTCGCACGAATCTGCCTACTCTTTGTGGATGTCGGGTATGAAAGCTTCTCAAGGAGTGAAAAATGTTGCTGAAATGGGTAAGTTTCTCGCTATGTTCTGCTCAATTTTGAGACGAACGAAATTGAATTCAAAAAGAAGAAACTTTAAGAGGTCGGTAAACTGAATTCAAAATTTTCACTGAACAGTAGTCCGGACTCTTATAGAAGGGCTCGCTTGTTTCATGACTGGTCACAGTACCCTGCGTGCTTGCGTCAACTCCTCTCTTTCTACTACTGTAGGGGTTTTAGACGTCACAGTGGTTGCGGCAACGAGAACTTCAAAAAAGCAATAGTTTAGATGGGCAAAACAACAACTTTGCACGTGCGTCACACTTTTGTATGGAATGCCGTTTGTATCAAAAATACTTCTTACCATATGTAAACCTTTACATTAAATATATAAAACATTTTGCTTTATGAATAAAACTTCTTAATTTTAGTATTAAGGTTATAGTGCACAATTAAAACTTGTTACAAAATATATAAAACTTGTTGAAAAATATAAAACTTTTCACGATATATAAAACTTGTTCAATATAATAAAACTTGTCACGCAATCCTGAAAGGTGCAGGGGCGGTTGCTTGGCAAAGGGTTGGTTCGCAGTCTCTTTTTTAGTCCTCCATCATGGCGGATGATTTTACATGCATTTTGCGCGATGAATTCGAACGATTTATTGAAGAACTTCGATACGAAGAGTTGAGGCAAAGTATTTTTACTGAAGAATTAGAAGTTGCAGAACGATTACTTGCCCTTAGCTTGCCCTTTCAGAAAGGATTTGCCGCGAATTTGTGTTTTTCCTTCGCATCTTTGAGTCTCTGAACTGCGATATCAATGAGGACATAACTGAGCTGATCAAACAACTCCTTAAATTGTGCGAAGGTCTAACTAGAGAGCGCGTAAATTGGCTTGAGGAAGGCCGTGATGACAATAGTTTTCGATGCCCACCCGAACCCGTCGACGAAGGCAATGCAAGGTCAAGAGGAAGGCCGCGGTAAACACAAATTCGTGGCAAATCCTTTCTGAAAGGGCAAGTAACCGATCCGCAACTTCTAATTTTTCTGTAAAAATACTTTGCCTCAACTCTTCGAAGGGAAGTTCTTAAATAATCGCTTGAATTTATCGCACAAAATGGATGTAATATCATCCGCCATGATGGACTCCCTTTTATGTTCCTCTCCCCTCATTACGGATAGTTTTCTTTAATTTGTCCCTGGGGAAAGAAAGCCCTTACAGTTTCCCTGAATTCAACCCGCTTGATACAGACACCCATTAATGCTGACAACGGACTGTAATAAAGAGAAAAAGTTGTTACGTCACGTTGCCATGGTAGCAAAATTTTTGGATGACAACAAACCGAAAATTCACTTAAAGAGTAAATTCGCACTGTTTCAAACTTCATCGATCTAATTCAAATTTCATTTAATTTGTCAAATGTTGGCGAAATTTTCTAGATTTAATCCGAAAGGACCGTATGTGAGTTTAGAAAAAGAAAAAGAAACTTTTTGCGTTGTGTTCGCCTACTCCGTAAAGCGGGCGCGAGAAATTAGGAGGTTGTCTCAGATGTGCAACGTCGACTGCTAAGAAATGTACCAAAAAGGCGTGATGCACGTTCAAAGTTGTTGTTTTGCTAATCTAAACTTATCGGGTTTCTTTGGCGTTCTCGTTACTGTCGCTGTCATCGTTGCTTAATCTCGGCCTTACTGTTGTCATCCAGAAATTTGCAATTGGCTACCATGGTAACTTGACGACACACTTTTCCTCTCTCTTGAAGGTAAAAAATCATTCAGTTGCTAGCATGTCGATAAGTGTTCCCGTGGACTTAAGCCCCGTGAAGACAGCAAAGTAAAAGTTAGAGAAGTTTAATTTGACGATGCTTATGTCCTCTTTTATTTCCTAGTAAAACTTATGGTTTTTTCAGTTAACTTTAATAACATGACGAGGGTGATACCGACAGTTTCTGAGACCCCTCCACTGTCTGTATTAACGGCCTTTGGTTGGAGTACTGTTTTTATAATTTGGGAACAGGAAAAAAAACACAACTAAGGAAATGAGTGGAAAGTGGTTCAGCCGGCACTTGAACCCAGTACATTTAAGAAAATTTCCTGAATCTGTACACCGTCTTCAAAACGTCTTCACCGAGATAGCATTAGCTGCTTAGGACAAGCTGCAACCCACGCTGATTAAGGCATTTTCAAAAGGGAGCCAGCTTAAATAGCCTGAAAGATCAACCGCCTTTTCATCGCCTTAAAGCATCAATATGGCTGCCGCGATGAAACACTCAATTTTGAAATGATATCAAAGAAGTCAAAGCCTGTTTATCCTCGCATTGCGCATCCTCTTGATGCCGAGAATATGGAATGCTATATTTTGGGAGATATAAACTGTAATGTGGGTTCGTCCACTTAGGATCACAAAACAACGCGCATCACTGAGCTCTAAATCAGCTAATTAGTGAACCAACTCGATCACTAATGAACATTAGATAAAATAACTTTAAAGCATGTTTCAGTTTTCTATGAGTTTACCGGCACAATAAACCATACGTTTTTAACCAATCAGAAGGCGCGTACTATCTTAGTTATTTTGTAAAAATCAATAAACGGTCTTGCTCCAGATTACTTGATTAACCTTTTTACTCAGACCGTGATAGTGTCACCTCATATTCGCTAAGAGACACTGACAGCAAACTGGCTCCGATTCCTCAGCCCCACACAAACTACCTAAAAAAGAGTTATTGATAGCTATAGGGATGCAGTGCTGTGGAATAGCCTCCCAATCGAGTTGCGGCGGGCAGATACTCTGCAAAGTTTTAAAGCGGGTCACGTTTGCAAATTTTTATCTCATAGTCCGGAGTTTTTTTTTAGTTACGCATTTAACCTAGCTTCCTGCCTACCAATTCTCATTTTTTCATGCCATTTTTAATAAGGTGACTCAACCGTGCTGGAGCAAGAAATAATGCAACGCATCACGTCTACCAAGACAGCATGGAAACAGATCAAGTCCGGTAATATGGCAATAAACGGCACGGAAAGCGTGATGAACATCGAAGTCGAGGTCACAAAGGACTTTCCTTATGTGTCTCTCGTAACCATGCTCGTTCCATCTCCCGATTGGTTCACCGGGATCATGAAAGTATCTCTTTGTGATGCTTCGAGTGGAACGTGGATGGACAGTTGGACAATTGATGATCTACAACCCTGGGATGCCGGCACCGACAACGGGACAACTTTCATGGCTGCGAATAATCCGACTATGCCCCCCGGTTATATCAGCATCATCACTACAACTGCACCGCCAACAGATTTTATGAATCTTTCCTCGTCAGCAATACCAACACTGGGTAAGATGATGTTGGTGAGACAAAACAAACCAACCATGAATCAATGCAGTGGCATGTACTACTACACAGTCAAGTTTGAAGCCAAGTGGTCACAGGCTACCCACCCCAAAGGATTCCCAAGCAGTGCCCACTTTTCTCCTCTTGTCATTGCTACACACTCGTACAAATACAAAATGTGGAGTGATATGACCAGAGCTTCACCGGGTGTCGAAGAAGTTGCAGAAATAGGTGGGTCAATTTTTTCCATTACTTACAAGGGAGAATAATAAGATAACGAAGGAAAACGCCTTTTCTAACACCCCTGTTATAGATATGTGAATTTCACCAAAGTTATTTTTAGTCCAATAAAACGCTTGAAATTTACCGGAAGTTGGTTTTCGGAGAGGTCAGCAAACGTTTATTCAGCGTTGTCAATCGTCATTACAATATTGTAAATTATTTTCTTTGAGCCAGTCGCGCGTATCCTGGCTCCACAGGTCCGTTCTCGCGAGAAATACCTAAGATGAAGAATCGATCGTAATCAAGTCACGCGTGGACTTGATTACGTTTCAAACAATCGATTAAAATGTGCGTACGTCTCAGGAATTAGAAAAATTGGCAATTCCCATATCCTGGCCAACGCCCTAACATTCACTCTCCGGAGTTTCATTATAATTTCGTATTACGAGTTAAACTTTTCTCGGGATTACACTGATCGGGGTATGCGGAGGAGAAAAAATATACCGTGTAAATTAGACAAACTTAAGCCCCTAGAGTAATAAAGTTAATTTTACGCGGTTGCACTGATTAAGGATTGCAAACCTCGAATTCACCCTTGTACTTTGTTTTTGTCTCACTTACAAATAATAAATTTGCTTTTATTTTCCATTAACAGGAGCGGAAGGAACATTGTATAACGAAGTTGATAAGATGAAAAAGTCCGGTTTTGTCTCCAATGTCTATAAAACCGGGACGATAAGCACCCCAGGTGGTTACACGAGCACAAAAATCATGGTACAAAACATGTACTCCATGGTCTCTCTAATCACCATGATCGCACCTTCACCTGATTGGTTCGTTGGAGTTGACAGCTATGATCTCTGTGGAACGAATGGATGGAAAGAAAAGGTGACGATGGACCTGCTCCCGTGGGATGCTGGGACGGAGAATGGACAAACCTACAAATTAAATAACATGGCGACTGACCCTGTTGACGTCATCATGCGTATCACCCCAAATAGTAATTCCGATATAGGCGCACATGCCAATGTAACCTTTGCTACAGTCACTTTCACGCGCGAAGAAATGACAACGACACAAGCAACAACTACAGCTAGTGCCCCAGGCTTGTCGGCCGGCCTTTTTGCCATCCTGTCCGTCTCGTTGCTTGCAATCATGGGCGTGCTGTACTAGAGTAATGCAATGGAGCTCAGAGCGGTGAAACCAATACGTTTTGTCATTTTCGCACATTTTCCTCTGGTACGTGGTCGATGCCATTTTAAAGACACAGTCTTCTCTGGTCAAAGACCATTTCATAACTAATTCTAAGTCAAATGAGGCAGACATTACTCCCCTCAAGTTAGACCTTTTTTCGGTGTAGAAAGCTTAAAGCTGACCAAGCACCTTCTGAACAGACTAGTATCTTGGCTAGTGCATATTCCATAATGGTTATTGATTTAATTGTTGGACAATTGTTACAGATTTCACAGAGACGCATTACAAATGAAATCGACCCTGTCAAACCCTGTAGTAGGATAAACCTTTTGTAAACTCTGCATTGCACGCGCGAATATACGTTTGTATTTCTTTCATTCTATTTTTTTTTTTTTGATAGTTTTGCAATAAATGTAACAATAATAATTCCCGATTTGGTGGATGAATGAAATTTCTAGCTGTCTTTGCCTGACAAACCTGGTAAATAAAGGATTTATTATGCCGCCAGAAGGATTTTTTTCTTGGGAGAGGAACTCGAGTTATGTCGAACGTTAAAGACGAACGCAATTTCCCCGTTTTGATAGGAAGTGGAACCACGCTTTTTGCTGCAAAATTTGAATAATTTGATCTCATGTTTTTGGTCTATAAGAGGAAAGAAACTTGCAAGTTGTTTACCATTTACAAAAAGTTTCCTCATTCAGTAAATATAACGCGACTTTTGACATTTTCTAACTTCCATGACGTTTTTTCATGTCGTTGGCAGTGAAAGCCATCATGGTGTCCCTATTTTAGGCCAGTAAATTGCACAATAGTTTTTGTTTTATTTTTAACCTCGAAACTTTCTAGAGCATTCCAAAACATTAAAATGTTGGTTCAAACAAGTAAGTAAACAAATTCAAAAAACCCTTGAATGCAGAGGTCCACTATGGTAACGGCGAGTAAAGCTAAATAAAACAGACTGGTTCTTTCTTACCGGATCTCTAATGTAGAGATGATGACGTCACTTGAAGTAGGAATTAAAACAAAACTGAATGCAAGGTTGAAAATACGGAAACGGGCTGAGTTACTCAAGGCCAATATTCTGGAGAACAAAATTAGCCTTACTCAGTGTAGCTCTGGCCCTGAGGAAGGTTAATTTTGTTAACCGAAATATTCAGGCCTTAAATAAACTAACTCTGCCGTGTTGCCAGCTTTGCATTCAGTTTTGTTTTAAACGGTAAACAAACCCGCACCTTCGCACACAAGAGGTCCAGTTAGGCGGTATCCTTTCCTCTCCTCCCTTGTACCAACGTTTGCCTTATTAAAGATCTTCAGGTTAAAGTACATGTTTCGCAAAAAGCAGAAAGTTTTACGAAGATTTTTTTATTTAATAGGGAGCTTTAGCAACGACGACGGCGACGGCCTTGAGAACCTCAAAATAGCAATAGGACAACAACTTTGCACGCGCATCACGCTTTTTTGTACATTTCTTTAACGTCCTTGCACGACAACGACGTGAAAATGCCTAGTTGCAAGTTTTATGGAGGACCGTAAACAAGCGACGACGAATCTCTTTTTCTCTCTCTTAACTTGAGTGCGGTCCTCAACAAATCAACTCTAGGGAAATTGGCCCACACTTGCCATTTTCAGCAAATTGGAATAAACGCGACAAAGATTAAAAAAACGGAAATTCATTTTAAAACTGACGTTTTCGCTGCCGTTGCCGTCGTCGATGCTAAAGCTCCCTAATAATCAACTTACAATTCGCTATATCAGTTTTAAAGTGTTCCGGTTATGTTGAACACAAGTGCCCTGTCATGCTTCCCTAACTAACAAACAAAGAAACTATTACGTACCATTTGTTCAAAATTCCTCATACGAAACGGGTTACTTGGAAGCAAAATGAAGAATAAAGGTTTGGAATACAATAAATGGATCTTTCAAGAGTTGGAAAAGTTAATCCAAGTTAAGATGTGAAAGAAGAAGCATTTTAGTCATGCAAAAAGATCTCCTCTTGAAGAATCTTGTGGCAAGTACCTAGGTTAACCATGCTAGTAAAACAAGCATGACAAAGCATCTCAGGTGCGTCACCAAAAATTGTAGAACAATATAAGAAGATGACATTTCTTAAACGAATAAGTTTAGGCAGAGACTTCTCACATCAGCAATTAACGTTCACTGTAAAGCTCTGGCGAAGTAGGCCTTGATCTTCAACATGGTAGGGACAGTTTGGTTGGTCGCTCTTTTCGGCCTATTTTCAGCAGCTTACTCTGCGAATTACGAATGCCAAGGTGTTGCTCGATACGGGCTAACGTTTTATGGCATGTGGAGCAACATGACGCATCCAAATGCTTTTCCTTTTCCTTCGGGCCATTTTTCGCCTCTAGTCGGCGCCTCGCACGAATCTGCCTACTCTTTGTGGATGTCGGGTATGAAAGCTTCTCAAGGAGTGAAAAATGTTGCTGAAATGGGTAAGTTTCTCGCTATGTTCTGCTCAATTTTGAGACGAACGAAATTGAATTCAAAAAGAAGAAACTTTAAGAGGTCGGTGAACTGAATTCAAAATTTTCACTGAACAGTAGTGCGGGCTCTTACAGAAGGGCTCGCTTGAAGACGAGTCACAGTACCATGCGTGCTTGAGTCAACTCCTCACTTTCTATTACTAGCGAGTTTTAGACGTCACGGTGGCTATTGCAACGAGAACTTCAAAAAAGCAATAGTTTAGATGGGCAAAACAACAACTTTGCACGTGCATCACACTTTTGATACAGTTCATTGCCATCACTGCGGGCCCACGACGCGAGATTTTCCATATTTAATGTATTATCGAGAATTAAACAAACGCGGCGACAAATTTATCTTTCTCTTGGTTTTGAAATTGGATATTTTTCTTAAGAATTCATGTCCAGGAGAGTCCATCTACACTTTTTGACAAAATGAGGAAGTTGGGATAATCGCAATAAAGCGGTAAACATCCGGTTGACGTGTGTCGCTCAAAAACGTCTTTACTCTGTACATGTGGTTTCACTGATTATATTAATAGTAAATAGGTTACTACGGTAACAATGAATACAACACTACAGTATCTTAAACTCCCTATTGCCTTAGTGCTTACAGTGAAATTGTGGCTCAACCAGGAACTGAAACTGGGCCTACAGACTTCTAGTCTGATGCCTAGAACACTCGGCCACTTAACCAAACTACTTCTCTGATGGCGGTATTTTCAGCAATATAAATCACCTTTCTATCCCCAAGTCGATCGATGTCACACGGCCCTCAGGGGTGGGGAGGGTAATCTAAGCAACTGATTGCAACAATTCCCTTGGATGGCGATTACAGCGATATACAGCCGAACCCCACTTTACGGACACCAGCTCAGTACGGACACCTCGTTATTACGGAGGGGGGAGGTACAGGAGGGTAAATTTACCTCCTCCCTATTATGTTCCTCTCCCCTCATTACGGACAGTTTTCTTTAATTTTTCCCTGGGGAAAGAAAGCCCCTACATTTTCTCTAAATTCAACCCGCTTAATACAGACACCCGTTAATGCCTGACAACGAACTCTTATTTCTTGCCCAATCAACGAATTTTCATAGAGAGCCAACCTTGCTAATGCGGACACGTCATTATCGATTGGTGCTGTAATAGAGCGTTACTTTTTGAAGTTAAAAAGTTATTCAGTTGATAGCATGTCGATGTTTCAGCGCTTCTGTTATAAGATGATTTGTAAACGTCAATTTTTGGCATCAAACGAGATGCAGAAAAGGATTGTGATTAAGTAATACTATGAATGAGCGATTTTTAACTGTTTCCGTGGACTTAAGCCGCGTAAAGACAGCATCGTGAAAGTTAGAGGAGTTTAATTTGACGACGCTTATGTCCTCTTTTATTTCTTAGGTATTTTGTTCTAGTAAAACTTATGGTTTTTTCAGTTAACTTTAATAACATGACGAGGGTGATACCGACACTCCGGCTGTGATCCGGCTTCAGTGTCCGTATTAACGGGCTTTGGTTGGAGTACTGTTTTTATAATTTGGGAACAGGAAAAAAAAACACAACTAAGGAAATGAGTGGGAATGTGGTTCAGCCCGCACTTGAACCCAGTACATTTACGAAAATTTCCTGAACCTGTAGACCGTTTTCAAATCGTCTTCACCGGGATAACATTAGCTACTTGGGACAAGCAACCTGCAACCCAAGCTGATTAAGGCATTTTCAAAAGGGAGCCAGCTTAAATAGCCTGAAAGACCAACCGCCTTAAAGCATCAATATGGCTGCCGTGATGAAACGCTCAATTTTGAAATGATATCAAAGAAGTCAAAGCCTGTTTATCCTCGCATTGCGCATTCTCTTGATGCCGAGAATATGGAATGCTATATTTTGGGAGATATAAACTGTTATGTGGGAGAGTCCACTTAGGATCACAAAACAACGCGCATCACTGAGCTCTAAATCAGCTAATTAGTGAACCAACTCGATCACTAATGAATATTAGATAAAATAACTTTAAAGCATGTTTCAGTTTTCTATGAGTTTACCGGCACAATAAACCATAGGTTTTCAACCAGTCAGAAGGTGCGTACTATATTAGTTATTTTATAAAAATCAATAAACGGTCTTGCTCCAGATTACTTGATTAACCTTTTTACTCAGACCGTGATAGTGTCACCTCATATTCGCTAAGAGACACTGACAGCAGCAAACTGGCTCTGATTCCTCAGCCCCACACAGACTACCTAAAAAATAGCTTTAGCTATATGGGTGCGGTGCTGCGGAATAACCTCCCAATCGAGTTGCGGCAGGCAGATACTCTGAAAAGTGTTAAAGCGGGTTACGCTTGCAAATTTTTATCTCATAATCAAGTTTTTTTTTTAGTTAAGCATTTAACCCAACTTCTCATTCTTTCATTCCATTTTTCATTAGGTAACTCAACCGTGCTGGAGCAAGAAATAATGCAACGCATCATGTCTACCAAGACAGCCTGGAAACAGATCAAGTCCGGTAATATGGCAATAAGCGGCACAGAAAGCGTGATGAACATCGAAGTCGAGGTCACAAAAGACTTTCCTTATGTGTCTCTCGTAACCATGCTCGTTCCATCTCCCGATTGGTTCACCGGGATCATGAAAGTATCTCTTTGTAATGTTTCGAGTGGAATGTGGATGGACAGTTGGACAATTGATGATCTACAACCCTGGGATGCCGGCACCGACAACGGGACAACTTTCATGGCTGCGAATAATCCGACTATGCCCCCCGGTTATATCAGCATGATCACTAAACTTGCACCGCCAACAGATTTTATGAATCTTCCCGCGTCAGCAATACCAACACTGGGTAAGATGATGTTCGTGAGACAAAACAAACCAACCATGAATCAATGCAGTGGCATGTACTACTACACAGTCAAGTTTGAAGCGAAGTGGTCACAGGCTACCCACCCTAATGGATTCCCAAGCAGCGCTCACTTTTCTCCTCTTGTCATTGCTACTCACTCGTACAAATACAAAATGTGGAGTGATATGACCAGAGCTTCACCGGGTGTCGAAGAAGTTGCAGAAATAGGTGGGTCAATTTTTTCCATTACTTACAAGGGAGAATAATAAGATAAAGAAGGAAAACGCCTTTTCTAACACCCCTGTTATAGATATGTGAATTTCACCAAAGTTATTTTTAGTCCAATTAAACGCTTGCAATTTACCGGAAGTTGGTTTTCGGAGAGGTCAGCAAACGTTTATTCAGCGTTGTCAGTCGCCATTACAATATTGTAAATTATTTTCTTTGAGCCAGTCGCGCGTATCCTGGCTCCACAGGTCCGTTCTCGCGCGAAATACCTAAGATGAAGAATCGATCGTAATCAAGTCACGCGTGGACTTGATTACGTTTCAAACAATCGATTAAAATGTGCGTACGTCTAAGGAATTAGACTTCCGTTTATTTGTAGCCTCTAAATATAAGAAAAATGCGCAATTCTCATATCCTGGCCAACGCCCTAACATTCACTCTCCGGAGTTTCATTATTATTTCGTATTACGAGTTAAACTTTTCTTAGGATTACACTGATCGGGGTATGCGGAGGAGAAAAAATGTACTGGGTAAATTAGACAAACTTAAGCCCCTAGAGTAATAAAGTTAATTTTACGCGGTTGCCCTGATTAAGGATTGCAAACCTCCAATTCACCCTTGTACTTTGTTTTTGTCTCACTTACAAATAATAAATTTGCTTTTATTTTCCATTAACAGGAGCGGAAGGAACATTGTATAACGAAGTTGATAAGATGAAAAAGCCCGGTTTTGTCTCCAATGTCTATAAAACCGGGACGATAAGCACCCCAGGTGGTTACACGAGCACAAAAATCATGGTACAAAACATGTACTCCATGGTCTCTCTAATCACCATGATCGCACCTTCACCTGATTGGTTCGTTGGAGTTGACAGCTATGATCTCTGTGGAACGAATGGATGGAAAGAAAAGGTGACGATGGACCTGCTCCCGTGGGATGCTGGGACGGAGAATGGACAAACCTACAGTTTAAATAACATGGCGACTGACCCTGTTGACGTCATCATGCGTATCACCCCAAATAGTAATTCCGATATAGGCAAACATGCCAATATACCCTTTGCTACAGTCTCTTTCACGCGCGGAGAAATGATAAGAACAATGACGACGGCAAGAACAATGACGACGGCAAGAACAACGACAACGGCACGAACAACGACGACGGCAAGAACAACGACAACGGCACGAACAACGACGACGGCAAGAACAACGACAACGGCACGAACAACGACGACGGCAAGAACAACGACAACGGCACGAACAACAACGACGGGGAGCACAACTACAACTGATAGTAGTGCCCCAGGCTTGTCGGCCGGCCTTTTTGCCATCCCGTCTGTCTCGTTGCTTGCAATCTTTGGCGTGCTGTACTAGATTAATGCAATGGAGTTTAAACGGTGCAGCAATTTTCCCATTTTTGCACATTTTTCTCTGATACAGGGTCGATGTCATTTTAAAGACACAGTCTTCTCTAGTCAAAGAAATATTTTTTTAATCACTCTCAGTCATATGAGATAAGCATTACTCCGCATAATTACGGTAGACCTTTTTTGTATAGAAAGCTTGAACCTACATGTTCATAAGGCTTGCTGATTTAACAGTGTTCGACAATTCTTATAGATATCACAAATGGCATCGACCCCATGAAAACGGGTCTTTACGTCAAACTAGGATAAACATTTTGTAAACTCAACGTTCCATGCGCTAATAGTACCTTTGTATTTCTTTCATTCTGTATTTTTTGATAGTTCGTCAATGTATGTAACAAGGATAATTCCCTTTCTGGTGGATAAATAAAGTTTCTAGCCATCTTTACTTGATAAATAAAGGCTTATTTTGAGCTCAGGGGGATTATTTTTGCGGGAGAAACTCCGGTAATCCAGAACGTTCAAGAAGAGCGCAACTTCTCCGTTTAAGTAGCCAATCCGGAACACAGTAAGTGAAACCGCGTCTTTTACTGCAAAGTTTGAATATTTTGACCTCGTGTCTTTGGTCTATGAGAGCCAAAAGAGTGTGGAAAATTGCTGTCTATAAACTGCTTTTTACAATAGCATCGACATTTTTTAACGTCCATTTCCGGTGAAGCTTTTTGCAAAGTCGCGTACGAGAGCTAAGACAAATTCTCAAAAATTTTTTGAGAAAGGGTAAAAACTTTAATCTATTTTTCCATCAAGGACGCTTACGTTGTTATCAGAACTGGCCGGTCAGTTGAGTACAACCTCGTCCCCAAGGCTTTTCCCTTTTTTTAAGGGAAAAGCCCTGGGGACGAGGATGAGTTGAGTAGTAAAGGCAGGGGCGGATCTAGGTGGAGGGTGCAGGGGGTGCGCAACCCCCCCCCCCCCCCCCCCCCCCCCCCCGGTGTTTTTAATAATTAACCCCACCCCCCCAAAAAAAATTTTTTTTTAAAGGGGGGGGGGTTTT